ACATAGATATTAAAAAACACAAATGCGATAGCACAAAATGCAGACCCAAATTCAATTCAAAATTCAGACTAAGTAATTAAATTGAATTCATAATTTAGATTAAATTCAGTTTATAATTCAGACCAAATCCAATTCATATTTCAGACCAAATCCAATTCATATTTCAGATCAAATTCAATTCATATAATTCAGATGAAATCCAATTCACAAACGACCAAGAACAGTAGACAAACCATACTGATACATTTTATTTTTTATCTCAGATAATCATTACGGTATATGAATTAGTACATTGTTTAAGTGGTATTTCATCACAGTTAGAACATAACACGTAAACAGTACACACAGTATTGTTTTATGTATTTCTCTTTTATAATGAAACTGCTCATCAAGTTTTGTCCTTGAAGGCTTAAAGATTGAAGTGATATACGGTATCTTAGATGATTTAATGAGAAATCTATTCCATAATTTTAGTAATTGCAACATAATAACAACAAGACAAACATTGAGTGAAGTATAGATGTATTTCTCTGACATGAGATTTTATAATTCCAGTAAATGAGTCTCATGGCAAAAATACCCTAAAATAATCATTGATTTGCTAATGGACACAACAACTATCCATTTTGTTTTATACCAATAATTTTCATTGTATATACATGTACATGTTTAGTGATACTGCATTTGGAATAGACTCAGAAATGTTGACATTTTCTTGAATTGTAAATTTAATGGAGTATATTACTAAAGGCTAATGCTGGTATTAAGAAGTGCCACATTTGTAGATGGTGGCACATTGGATATATGTAGGTCTGAATTGTGAGACTATCCTTGAAATTGGCAAATAAACTGTCCACCTATACTAGCTCAGTGTATAATGTCAACTGGTGTAAGTGTATACTCCAGTGTGTTTCTGTGTGTACATGTACACATTGAGTATTAAAAGCCCAGGAGTTTTTCTCCACTTTCTCATCCCCCAATGCGACCAGGCAGTGCTCCTGGTTGTAGTTGTATTGGTGAGCTGTGAGAGGGATGAGATGAGGGAGATGCCAGCCTGCTTGCTCGAATGAGGAGAGGGATTGGAGACATGCCCATCAACCAGTATACTTTCAACATACCTAGTCGGAAATCAGAGGAGTAATGTATTGCTAAACATGCAGGGAGATGTATTATTGCGGTTGCTTGCTTGAGAGTCTCCTGATATGGCATCTTGAAAGTTGATGCGGGCTGTTATTTGAGCCAAGATTCTTGCTGTTTAATAGCCAGAAGTACATGCCATTGCATTGATGAAGTTGAGGCAGGTGCATGGAATTTCTAAATCAGAGGAGTAATGTATTTCTCATCATGCAGGGAGACGTAAAATCTTGAGTGCTTGCATGAGGGTTCCTGGCGTGGCATCTGAAAGATGATGCGAGGCTGCTACTGGAGCCATGTTTCTGTTAGTATGTGCCATTGATGAAGTTGAGGCAGGTGCAGAGAATTCCCAGGCTCATGTGTTTATCCGTGTGGAATGAAGGCCTCTCTAGTTCTTGTTGGGAGATGGCGGTGATGTTTTCAAGGAGGAATCGTCATCATATTACAAGATAATGTTAAAGGTTGTCCTGAAGAAGTGGATGGAGTTCTTGGTGATTGTTCAGTCGGTTTCTTGAAGTCAAATAGTGTGTTTGATAAGATGAGAGGAAGGATATACTCTATTTCCAGAGGATGCTCAATTGCTTCTTCTCAAAGTAGAGTTTAATCAAGGTTTATATTATAATACTTCTGGAGTTAATACTTGATAAAGGTTGTACAGTTGTACTTTTTGCTCCAGTATTTGGTGGAGCCTGTTTAATGTTTCTAAAGAAAGGATGTAAAATCAGTTTGGATTTTGTTACTTATTTACCAAGTACATGTAGTGCCTAGCTTAGAATTGTGAGATTGTTTTACAAAAGCTTATTTAGAGCTTGCTATTAAAATATGTAGACACCTGACATACATTACATCATGTATTCACAATGACTTCAAAATACTTCAAAGTTATGTGCAAACTCATACCAGGTTACAATACATCACTCGATACCCTTCTTACAAAAGGCCTCTGGGAACCGATCTTTTGATACATGATGCTATTTGCACTGACAGTATGTGTTTCCATGTTCTCGAAGTTGGACAGATGGAAACAGCTTACCGGTATACATGCAGAAATGTTGCCCTGGCAGTAAACTTAAGTAAGCTGCCTGCCATTTTTTTGAAAAAAAGAGTCTATACATGTAGCAGGAATATATCCTACTGTACATGTATGGTACACATGTACCAGTATTTTGTAGTAGAACACAATGACAGAGCATAAGTTGGCAAACATGAATTATTGAAGAAAAAAAGAAAGAAGAAATATGTACCGGTAGGCCATCATGTTCATCTGCTAAGCTGTAAGTTTACATTTAATTCTCAGTTTTCTCACAGAAGCAGTGCATCAGATTATAAGAAATATAAAAAAAATTGTTCACCTTTTTCGAAATTCTTAATGATTATAAATGTCTAACATCATCAAAAAAGAAGTGCAATAAGTTTGGATAATCTGGCTCCAACTTTGTAGAAAGAAAGTTCATATACATGTACATGTACATGTACATGTACATATTTATGGATACATAGAATTATAATCAGTAAAAATGGAAATGTTGCTCATGACAGGCAGGAAGGGTATTAAATGTTCTAACTTTCTCAATTTGCTGCACATCAGATAAATGTAATATGCAATAAGAAATAATAACAGAAATACATTTATTGCAGTCATATCGCATTTTGCACTTCATGCCATTTGTACTATTTCATCTAGGGTAATTCCATTTAGGTTTACTAACTATAGCCAATATTGCTCTTGAAAGGCATGAAATGTTACAAAGCAAAGTGATAAAAGTGATAAAACAAGGGCCTGTATTAAAGGCTTTATCTCTAAACTGTTCTAATTTTCTCAATTTGCTGCACATCAGAAAAATGTAATATGCAAAAAGAACTATATCTAAAAAATGAAAGTACCAGTATTCAGATGCTCAACTATATTGCATTTTGCGCTTCATTATATTAATACATCCAGGGTAATTCCATTTAGGTTTGCTGCAGCCAACTAGACATCATAGACTATGCAGTAGACATTAGCGTCCCAATTTATTGTGGATCAGATAAATGTAATATGCAATATAAGAACTAATATCTGAACAAAATGTACCGGTATTCAGAAGCCCAACTATATTGCATTTTGCGCTTCATTATATTAATACATCCAGGGTAATTCCATTTAGGTTTACTGCAGCCAACTAGACATTGTAGACTTATGCAGTAGACATCAGCGTCCCAATTTACTGTGGAGCCCGAGTGCTTTTCACCCAGATCAATTAGCAAATTTATACCAAATTGACCCAGTCTATTGTCTGGTGTTTGCACAATAATCCCCTTGCCTGCTTGGACTATTAAACCCCATTTTATGGATTCTGTAATCAACTTTAATTGGGTAAAGTCACTAAAGCATTTAATCAAGGCACACGTTGGACCTCCATTCATTTCATCAGAGGTTTTTGTTGATGGTAAGTGATGACTTAATAGAAAAATAAATTTTCATTTGTGAGTCTTCCAATTTCTCTGTTAATGATAAGGAAAAATATTTTTCTTTGACAGTGATAAGAAATAATACATTCAATTTGAAAAGGCCTTTGTGCGTGCTTAGAATAAGGAAAGCAGTCACTTCAGTGAAGTCTGGGCACATGTTAGAATTAGACCTCCATTAATTTCATCAGAGGTTTTTCTTTGTAAGCAATGACTTTATAGAAGGGGAAAAAAAATTGCGGTCTTCCCATTTCTCTGTAAACGAAAAGGAATGAATGAAATGTAATTCATTCGACAGTGAATTAGAATAAATACAGTCAATTTGAGAAGGCCTTTGGTGAGCTCTTAGATTTTAGGAAAGCATCTTCTATTGTAGAATTTGTTGTAATTTTATGGTTCCATCCTCAAGGGATGACAATGAATGTGGATATATTCTTTAAGACATCTGAACAAAATTGATAATTGATGAAGCAAAATTATGTATTTGGAAATGGACGGATGTTACTGGAGACAGAAAATCAGTCCAAGTATTGTAGATGATAGAAAGAGGAAGAATAGAATAGAGAGAAAGAAAGAAAGGGGGTCATAACAGAGAGAGAGAGAGAGAGAGAAAGAAAGAAAGGGGTGCATAAAAGAAGGAGAGAGAGAGAGAGAGAGAGAGAGAAAAACCACAACATAGCAAACAAATTTTCTTTAGATCGATATCAAGAAAATATCAAATTGAAAATTGATACATAGTAAAATACAACTGTCCATTGATGTCTCATCTTTCTCCTGTACCATTGCCCAGTTATTCAAACCTTTTCTTATGATAATGGCAGAAGAAATATGAACCTGCCATTTGTCGCTGATTGCGGCAGCTAACGCTATTTCTGCTCCATTAATTTCTGCACAGGAAATGAAATAATGGACTTGAGATATTTGATTCCCTTCAAAAAACCATACAAAGAAAAATCCAAATACATTTTCTTTCCTAAATTCCTATGTTGATACTTGATAGGTAGAGAGAAGCAGAAGGGTGTACACTGTATTGGATGTAAACTTGTAAAGGTATTGAGTTAATGCCCTTCTGGCTCCAAACAGACGCTATTATCCTGCTTTGAAGATCTGGTGTTACTTTGGGGAAGGATAACAAACTACAAAGGCACAACAATTTTGTAGAAGAAAAATTTGATACTGAATTTAGAATTTTATACCCATCTGATTTATTTGTTGTATGTACATGTATTCCCAATACTGTTTTTAAAAAAAATATTTAAAAAATGCCAGAGTGTACTGTACATCCATGTATTTAAGGTATACTTTTCCCCCTTTCTGTCCAATTTATGTTGAGTCTCTTTGTTTCTCTCTCTGAGAGATATTGTTGAAGTGATTTTCCGCTAAAGTTGTACTTATCAACAACTTCTTATTATCCAGCTTTGGTATATACTATATATTGATGTGATTGGATGGTAATTTCCATGGTTACATCATCCACTTGAGAAAGGCTGTTTTTGTTCCTTTCCAGAGATTCTCAAATTCTATTGGCTCTTCCTATATGAACAAAGCCCTTTTATCCCTACTGCCTATTTCACGCCTCCTCTGTCTTTGCTAACGAGCAAGGTCATTAGCTTTGCATCAAAGCCCGTCAACAGACCAAGATGAATTTTCAATTCCATAGTCATGGGCAACGTATGGAATACAACGTTCCTTGCGTCAATACACCTACCTGAATGGAACAGTCTCTGCCTTCGTCTCAACTAATCAATACATGATATTTCTGGCTGTTATTTTTCCAGATGTTGTTTTCTCAGATCGCTTTAATTACTCTGTCAAATTTGTCGGGTGGGGGAGGAAGGTTTTGTCGAAGTTTCGATCGTTTCTCTTTCGACGGAGGGAGAAAAGGCGTATTTGCGTTGGTGGACCAGTAATTGGAATCGGCCCATTTCGATCACACCTCACAGCATTTCAAAATAGCAAGCTGCAGCAGGATTCTACTATTGTTTGAGGCTTGAATACAGAGTATCCTTCCCCAAGCCAGACGATTGATTAGCATTTTTTTTTTTATTCCTTCAGGCTAGTAATATTTTGGAGCTTGCATATGGTTAGACGCGATGCTCAGTAATTCTGGACGAAGGAGTCCTTGCAGGCAGCCTTCTCATGGAGTTGCATCGGTGAAGCTTGATGAGATGTCGAGTAAAATCTGTGCAATGTGATTCTAACTGTGCATCGGACACAAGTGCAATTTTCACAATTCTTGCCTTATCCTACCTCAAAATTAACAATCGCTCATCATGAGTCATCATTTATCTACTGTATACCATGAAGCATTATGGACAAATTGTGCCAGGACGGAGGTCTAGATGCGTCAATCAAAAAAGCTGGTTTGGGTTCCTAAAGGACCCAGAATGTCGCGGAATCAAGCCACGATGCTGTGGCTGGATTTATACGCTGACGAAGGAACCCGATTTAAGCTCAGCGCCTGCTCCAAGAAAAAGATGGGGCAGACTGGAAAGACCTGCGGATTAATGATCGTCGGGTAATCACGCTTTGATGTTTATTATCGAAAAGACCATTTTTGTAATGTTATCAAATGTTATGCTTAGTAAGTCTTTGTTATGTGCCATGTTAAAAATTATTTAATTCACCCATTATGGATAATTGTATTTCAGTAGTCAAAATGTGACTTGCATACATTAATTGTTGCTAGGTAGGACAAACATTATGGCATGCCCTACCGAACAACACCTAATGTATGCAATTAGCATTCTGACTATTAAAATACAATTATTCATGACGGGTAAATGAAATAATTTGTTTATATTTGATTACATTAAGCGAAACAGCCTGTTAGGATTAGGTGCATGCTCATATACATGTATGCATTACTTGATTTGAGAATTTCATAAATTGATAATGTATCAAAACAATTAAGATGTCATATTTCCCTTCTCAGTTGTTTTTGGTGTAGTTATTAGGATATTGAGAAAACAACTGTGAATATTCAACCCATGGGCTTACAGCTTGAATTCTTATCCAAGGGCCATATCTTACTGATCCTAGGGGCATTTAAATTGCAAATTAAAGCCATTGGTATTTCTCACATTTTGGAGTTTTATCGGAAGTTGCTTAGCATCTGGTATTGCCCAAATATACATGTACAAACACACAACTCATAAATGGTTAGCACATGATGTCGTGTCTGGAGAGTGGAGATGCCTTTCCAAGCTTCACAGATAAACTTGCAAGAATTTTGGAGGACAAAAGAAGAAAGTCTTTTATTACTAGCTTGTACAGATTGGCAGGTATCATTACCAGTAGACATCATGGAGGTGTATTGGGAGAGTTGACTCTCAATCAAAGAGTTGAGGGTTCGAATCCCAGCCAGGCACCAATTTCCTTTGCCACTCTCTACATCGATGTAAAGGTTACATGTACCCGGCATAGAACTGTGGTAATAATAATTGCAGGGCCGTCAGATAGAACAGCTCTGATGCTGATTAGGGGTCCCTGGCCTGGGTAAACAAAACTATTATTGTTATTATTATTATAATTATTTGATCAAGATAATCATGTATTTCATAAGTTTTGTCCTTTTTCATCCTGTCTAAGGACACCCACTCGTAATTTTATGAATGTTCCATAAATCAATATGCCATTTAATGTACCAGACTATGCATTTTTTATTGAGTCGGAAATGAAAAAAGAAAGTAGAGACGGCGCACACTTTTGATTCAGCGGCTGCTAATTAATTGGAGACCTACTATCACCGTATAATGTTTTGAATTGCCATGGAAACCAAACATCAACATCGTTTGTACATTTCTAGTAGATTTACACTGGCATTTCCTTTGATCCTGTATCCGTTGTAAATTACAGGGGAAAAAAAAGTAGGGTTGGCAAACAAATGGTAGAAGGAGAAAAAACGAGATGGGGCCTCTCTTTCACTTTATCCTTTGTTACATTATTAGAGAATAACTGGATAGCAACCTAACACCATTTTTAGTGTTATTCAAATATTCCGTTGAGTATTGTATGCACGGTACTTCTCTCTCTCTCTCTCTCTCTCTCTCTCTCTGGGATCTCTCTTGCAGATCCATTTAACCCTTCATTTAGACTACCAGTATTTGTGGTATAGCTATAGAAAAAAATCTTGTGTACTGTAGCCATACGACAAGTCATTTAATTGTTCCTAGTCTGAACGTCTTAATAAAGAAACGTCATATAAAGAAACGTCATGTTTGAGCATCCTTTGGAACAAAAATTGAATAAAGAATAATAATAATAATAATATTTAATTTTTATATAGCGCTTAATACAAATGTCTCTAAGCGCTTTACAAACAAACTATTACCATTCTCTAATGTGAGCGTTGTATCATACAGAAAATAGTATAACTGGGCAGGGCTTATCGGCAGCTCGCACTGATGATTGGCCAGCTGTCTGGTCGACTGACCTCGTCAAAATTAGTTTGTTTATTCAACGTTTCTCTGAACGATGCTGTTTTGTAGTCTGTACGCTCCTTTTGCTATACAACGTTTCTTTATACAACATTTTTATACGACGTTTGTTTATACAACGTTTCTAGATAAAAATGACGTTTCTAAATCGTATAAATCTCCTGTCCTCTGAACAAGCTGTCACTCTCTTTGCTTTGGCTGCTATGCTAGATATAGATTGAAAAGAATCCATAGTCATACGAGCATAACAAGAGAAAATGGGCTATTCAGATATTCCACAGATGAGTTGTCGTGCTCAATGTCAGTAATCTATTAATAGTTTTTGTCTTATTATTTTTGGAGCCCGTTCTCTTTCTGTAATATTTCATCACATGTTTGTCCTTTTTCCTTTGTATGCTTATTTCTGTCTGTTTGTTCTATCATGGAATCTCTGGTGCAGAGATAAGCTTTGAGAAAATACGTATGTACATGTATATGAAAAAAGGGAAAAGGAGTCGCTCAACATATTAATAAACTCAAAATAAATTATTTTGAACAGCTACACCTGTAAAGCAACATTTGGCAACTGGCCAAATATCACATTTACAGTACATGTATTTTAGCCCTGATTTTTTTTTTTTTTTTAAAGACATTTCAATACAAGTAGCTTTTAATAATACATGTTGTAACTGGATCTGTTTCCATTTTTACTGTAAACATTATGTGAAGGCTGCTGATTAGATTCAAGTGAGGTTGATATATTCTTAGCATTGGAAAGGCAGAAAAACTTTCGCCGGTGAAAGAGTCGAATACATCTACTATACAGTGTAGTTGACCATAATTATGTAAAGGGTAATTATCTTGTCTTTTCACCCATTCCTTGAAAAAGGGCTGAATTTATTGATAAATGAAATTAATGAATTGGTATCATCAACATATACATCTTTGTAATTTCCTTTAGTGTACTCCATTTTATTGTCTTATCCATATTTGTAAGATATATTTTATTGTATTCTATGACTTTGCATGTTTTCATGAAAAAATTGATTAAATTCAATGCCATTCTATTCAATTCATTGAAAATACGTATTCATTTTTTTTAATTGAGTGAATATTTATCGATTAATGAACCAATCACAGTATTCTTGTAGAGGTGTTGTGGTCTAGTGGATAAGTCACCCGACGGCAGAACACAAGGTACAGAGTTCAAGTCCTGCCGCGGCACTAATGTCCTTTGGCAAGACATTAGTCTACATTTGCCACTCTCCACCCATGTGGAATTGGTACCTGAGCGCTAGGTACTTTGACTGCTTGGCAATAAACAGGGTGATATGTGTAAAGCACCATGAGCATCAGAGCCTGGTGGATACCGGCACAATATAAATATCCATATCATTATTACAATTTTTATTCTCTTCTTTCTTGCTTTCATCATGCAGGAGAGGCATCTCATCTCGCAATGACAGCCACACCACCATCCCCCTCCCTGAGAGACCGGAAGACGTTCTACCGTTCCCTTTCATCCAGACCGTCAGCCGTGCCTTGGACTTCTATCTGACGTCGTCCAGCGGTCCGGAGTCTGCGTCGACGGCGGAGGAAGAACCGCAGAACGTGCTCGTCTCGTCGTTCAACAATGGCTGGACTACTTCAGGCAACTCGACAGAGAGAAGCAGTCTCTTTTCATGGGGAGATGATGTATGTATATACTTTTTGTGGGTTTTTTGTGTGCACAAGTGCACTGTAGTATTTGATTTCAAGTGGATTTGGCGCCATTATTATTATCATCATCATCATCATCATCATCATAATCATCATCATCATCATCATTATTTTCTCTATCATCATAATCATTATCATCCTCATCCTCATCCTCCTCCTCATCCTCCTCCTCATCATCCTCATCATCCTCATCCTCATCCTCATCATCATCATCCTCATCCTCATCCTCCTCATCCTCATCATCAAATTCAAATTCAAATTCAAATAATTTATTCACTCAATATAAAAAACAGACACATAGGATTGCGAATAAACGCATACATGTATAACAAATATAAAAAGATGGACATAGCAAAATCAGTAGATGACAACACAAATAACATAAATTGAGTGGGGACAGATTAAAGATCTACTCAAAGATCTTGTGAATTCGACCCTTTAGAATAAAATAAATTGCATTGTATACTGTTGCATGTACAACAACAGGAGGGAGAGAATACATATACAGCTACAGCTGGGTCAGAGAGAAACAAGAGAGGGAGATAGATAGAGAGAGAGAGAGAGGGGAAGAGGAAGGAAAATTGAAGGAGAGAAAGGCAAGATGAGAAGTAAAGTTAATACATAGGATGAAATTAGACCCAAGCAGAATAATAGTACATACAAAATAGAAAATAGAAATAACAATTATAAAAAGAAAAAACCCATACAAACCAGGGATATAACAATTAACATTGACATATAAACAACAAACAACAGGTGACTCAATGTGGATAAGATTGTAGAAGCCTTTCTTTGTATTGTCTCTTGAAAACATTCAGAGAACATGCAGATTTCATGCATCCTCATCATCCTCATCCTCCTCATTCTCATCCTCATCCTCATCCTCATCCTCCTCATCCTCCTCATTCTCATCCTCATCCTCATCCTCCTCATTCTCATCGTCATCCTCATCCTCATTCTCATCCTCCTCCCAATCCCCATCATCCTCATCCTCATCATCCTCCTCATCATCCTCATCCTCATCCTCCTCCTCATCATCATCATCATCCTCATCCTCATCCCCATTATCCTCATCGGACATCCTCCTCATCATCATTATCATCCTCATCTTCATCCTCATTCTCGTCCTCATCATCATTCTCATCCTCATCCTCATCCTCATCCTCATTCTCGTCCTCATCGTCCTCCTCCTCATCAACATCATCATTATCATCATTATCTTGTCATCACCACCACCATCATTATGCTGTCAAATGATTCTTTCTTACCAACAAGTACATGCATGTACAATGCTCTATCAATCTCACTATGTACATTGCTCTGCCCATTTTAAAAGTTACATGCATGCTTGCATATTTGCAGAGGCTAATATTTCTCATGTGTGTTCATCTCGTTTGTCACCAGCATAATTTCAAAAACGTGAAGGGTGTAATACACTTTGCGTCATCATTATTAAACAAAACGATGGATTTTGCAGTGTCATATCTGAACAAGGTATAGCCTAACTCCGGAAAGCTCCAACACCGGCGCCGCAGGCGTCGGAGCTTCGGGTGGTTTCCTTGGTTATTCTTGGGGGCTTGTAAACCAGCCGATTGGGTGATATTATCGTTAAATCTGCAAAGGGAGTACTTACAATTTTTACATCATAGGGTGCACGACTCCTCAGGGCTCAACTCCAATCACTTGAATGTATAATTTGAAGAAGTCTTCGATGGGAAAAAAAGGTTAATTCGGGGTACTACACCAACGATTCTTCCATGTCGCAGCGTTGATTCAAAATAGCGATGAGAAGGTACGCATGCGCGGCAGTGGCGAAGAAAATATGAATATTCAGGCTATCGAGCGCCGATCACTCGAAATCGCTGAATATGCACGACTCGAACAAACAGAACCTCGTGCATATTCAGCGATTTCGAGTGATCGGCGCTCGATAGCCTGAATATTCATATTTTCTTCGCCACTGCCGCGCATGCGTACCTTCTCATCGCTATTTTGAATCAACGCTGCGACATGGAAGAATCGTTGGTGTAGTACCCCGAATTAACCCTTTTTTCCCATCGAAGACTTCTTCAAATTATACATTCAAGTGATTGGAGTTGAGCCCTGAGGAGTCGTGCACCCTATGATGTAAAAATTGTAAGTACTCCCTTTGCAGATTTAACGATAATATCACCCAATCGGCTGGTTTACAAGCCCCCAAGAATAACCAAGGAAACCACCCGAAGCTCCGACGCCTGCGGCGCCGGTGTTGGAGCTTCCCGGAGTTAGGTATAGCCATGAACAGCTTCTGTTGCTGTACTATGCATTTTTCATTCCCAAGAAAATACATATGCAATTATGCATGTTATCTAAATGCTTTTTTATTGTCAAAATTTCCATTGACTTTATGCATCGTATATTTTTTCATTGACATAAATGAAAGGGGATCTCTTTAGAGAGATTCAGTGGCAAATTACCGTCAGGAATACCAAGTCTTTTTTCTTTTTTTCAATGGTAGAGGTACCCATTTTCTATACCTGGGCGAAGAAAGGCAAAATCAGACAAATGCTTTAAACGGGCCTGAGATGAATATGAAATGAATATTGGATTTAAAGGAAGAAAAATATTTTGATAAAATGGTGACTTGTTTCAGAAATTCTAATTCTGTCAACTAAATATACCTTCTGATTTCTGGCCATTGAAATGCTAAATTGTTTTAATAAAAGCTGATAGCTGTGCTATTTGTAAAGCTATACATGTTCACTATGATTTAAATTCCAGTGAATATATCTTGGTAGTGTTTGTATGATTTTGTTTTTTGATTTTTTGACAGGAGTTTGACAAGATCTCGGCCAAGCGTGTACAGCGCATGTTTGATGAGATTGACAGTATGCTGTACGAAGGGCAGAAAATCTCGCTGTCAAGCTCACAGCTCCACAACGAATGTAAAGTGTGGAAGACTCGCTTCCCACATCTCAGGTACACACTTAAAATCTCCCTTTCTCTCTCTCCCTCTCTCTGGGTCTCTCTGTCTCTCTGTCTCTCTGTCTCTACGTCTCTCGCTCTCTCTGTCTGTTTGTCTCTCTCTCTCTCAGTCTCTGTCTCTCTCAGTCCCTCTCAGTCTTTCCCTCTTCTCTCTCTCGCTCTCTCTCTTGCTCTTTCTGTCTCTCGCTGTCTCTCTCCCTCTCCCCTCTTTCTCACCGTCTCCCTCTCTCCTCTCTTCCTCACCCTCTCCTTCTTTCCTCTCTTTCTCTTTCTCCTCCCCCCCCCCTCTCTCTCTCTGTCAATCTCTGTGTCTCTCTCTTTAATGGATTCTACACACTGTTTGGAACCATCAGTAAAGTGAAAAGTGTCTAGAGCAGAAGCTCAGAAAATTTCAAGGAAGAAAAAGATCTTGTAATGCAAAATGACGTATACATATATTTCACACTGTATTTCTCCCAAGTTTTTCAAAGCAATATTTTCAGCCATGTTAAAAACAGGTCTTCTGTAATTCAAAATCGATTAATTACTTATGAAGTTCGATATTACAGAACAATGTTTGCTTCATTAAAGCAATGTAAACAGGCATGTTGTAGATTTTTTTCACAAATTAATGAAATGGAAAATAATTGATATACGGTACATAATGTTTTAATGAAGAGTACTTCATGACCAAGTTACTGTTTTCTATTATTAGAGGAAGTACTATTATATCAGAAGTGATAGGGATATATATTGTCTGTGACTGGAAATAAAAACCTTTTAAAATACAGTAAATAATGATAATAATATATCATACTATTCTTATCACAAATGTGTCCCCATCAATGATAATAATATATCATACTTTTCTTATCACAAATGTGTCCCCATCAATGATAATAATATATCATACTATTCTTATCACAAATGTGTCCCCATCAATGATAATAATATATCATACTATTCTTATCACAAATGTGTCCCCATCAATGATAATAATATATCATACTTTTCTTATCACAAATGTGTCCCCATCAATGATAATAATATATCATACTTTTCTTATCACAAATGTGTCCCCATCAATGATAATAATATATCATACTATTCTTATCACAAATGTGTCCCCATCAATGATAATAATATATCATACTATTCTTATCACAAATGTGTCCCCATCAATGATTATACAGTTATTGACTGGCAGGGGGTGTAATATAACATTATTTGGACCGCTGAAGGGAGTTATATTTCCCAAGTGGTTATATTTTCCCGAAGCGCGCAGCGCTGAGGGAAAATATGGTCACGAGGGGAAATATAACTCCCTTCAGGTCCAAAGAATGTTATATACCCCCTGCCAGTCAATAACTGTTATATTAGATAGCCCTTTTTTGTTTTTGTGGGGGGGGGGGGGGATCCAAAAAAAATTTGCCCTAAAAAAAAAAAATCCCCTTTTTTTCCTGGAAATTACGAAAAATTAATCTGTCGAGATAGTTCAAGAAAGAAAAAAAAACCTTACAAAAAAAAAAAATTATAAAAAAAAATTTTGGGAAAAAAAAAAAAAATTAAAAAAAAAAAATTCTTACCCAAAAAAGCATTTTTCGGGAAAAAAAAAAATTACCCAAAAAAGCATTTTTTGGGTAAGCATTTTTTTTTCTTCAATTTTTGAAAAAAAAAAAATGTGGAAAAAATAATTTTAAGGGAAAAAAAAATTCATGAAAAAAAAATATTGAAAAAATTAAATGACCCTCGGTAATGGTGTAATGTGTGTAATTGATGACATACAGTCCTCAAGAGGGCGACATGCATTGATTAAAAATATATTCATTTCACCAGCTGGTTAATATAACACCGAAAAGTGACCGGCCAGGAAAATATAACAATTTGGATCCTCACAATTGATATCACGTGACGAGCTCTGGACCAATCACATCTCGGTATCTGTCTAAGCTATCTAATATTATACAGTTATTGACTGGCAGGGGGTGTAATATAACATTATTTGGACCGCTGAAGGGAGTTATATTTCCCAAGTGGTTATATTTTCCCGAAGCGCGCAGCGCTGAGGGAAAATATGGTCACGAGGGGAAATATAACTCCCTTCAGGTCCAAAGAATGTTATATACCCCCTGCCAGTCAATAACTGTTATATTAGATAGCCCTTTTTTTGTGGGGGGGGGGGGGGGGGGGGGGTCCAAAAAAAATTTGCCCGAAATTTTTTTTTCCCCTTTTTTTCGGAAATTACGGAAAAATAATCTGTCGAGATAGTTCAAGAAAGAAAAAAAAAACCTTACAAAAAAAAAAAAAATACAAAAAAATTTTGGGGAAAAAAAAAAAAATCGGAAAAAAAAATTTCTTACCCCAAAAAGCATTTTTCGGGGAAAAAAAAAAAAAAAAAAAAAAAAAAAAAAAATACCCAAAAAGCATTTTTTGGGAAAAAAAGAAAATGTGGAAAATATAATTTCAAGGGAAAAAAAAATTAATGAAAAAAAAATATTGAAAAAATTAAATGACCCTCGGTAATGGTGTAATGTGTGTAATTGGTGACATACAGTCCTCAAGAGGGCGACATGCATTGATTAAAAATATATTCATTTCACCAGCTGGTTAATATAACACCGAAAAGTGACCGGCCAGGAAAATATAACAATTTGGATCCTCACAATTGATATCACGTGACAAGCTCTGGACCAATCACATCTCGGTATCTGTCTAAGCTATCTAATATAATAATATATCATACTTTTCTTATCACAAATGTGTCCCCATCAATGATAATAATATATCATACTATTCTTATCACAAATGTGTCCCCATCAATGATAATAATATATCATACTATTCTTATCACAAATGTGTCCCCATCAATGATTATAATATATCATACTATTCTTATCACAAATGTGTCCCCATCTGCTTTTATGGAAGAAAGGAAAGAAAAAGAAAAAAGAATAGAGAAAGAAAAGAGTGAGATATGTTCAGCATACTTTTATAATAAAGTCTTGTAAGTAAAGTGATGACAATCCCTGAATCTTTGGTCCGTAGAATCCTTGGAAGTCAACTCGTAGCGCCAAGTGATGAAGGCTTTCAGCTATACCCTCAAGAGGAGCCCTCATCACCGACCACCGGTGTGTTACTTGACATCGCCGACCATGAAGTACCTGGTAGATCAACTCAAAATAGACATGGGTAAGACTTCAGAGTTTCTTCTCCTGATGAAAGCATGCTTGAATTTTTATGTGATTTTTTTTTACGTATAGCACATGTTCCTTGGAGAATTATTCAAGGTGGGTTTCCTACACTAGCCAAATCTTGAACTGTTTCCAACTGGTGAGGTTTCCTTTAAAGGGATTAACAAAATTGTACACTAAGCTCATGCTGCAAGCATAATGATAAACCTTTGGGTCAGTCAGGAATCCCATGACTTTTACAAGCCAATCGCCTGTCTGATTATCAAGATATTTATGATTGGAATTCGAAATTTCGAAAAAATGTTTTCACAAGGGTTTTTATAACACTAGTCTATTGGGGAAAGTGAGTATGGTAAAACTGGTCACTCAAAGATTGTTTTACTTTTTTGAGGCATTTCATGATCATTTTGAAGCACAATTTTGTTAGGGCTTCATTATTTCACCATATCACAGACACTGATAACACGTAGAACCATGCATCTCAGATTTTTAAAACTGGAAACATTGTTAAACAATGCCTTTTACACTGAATACCATGAGAGATTGATGAAGAATATATAGATGCATATTTGAAGCCTAAAATAAAAGGTAAATCAATGTAAACAATAAATGAAATTGATATTGAATCAATTTCTCCATGGCCTGTTCATTCCATGAATGAACAGAATAAACAACAGCTACCCATTGTAGAAGCTTAAAATAAATACCATTTAGAGAATGGAGGGGGAAAAAGGCAATTAAGCACTTATTTTAAGCATAACATCAAGGGTACATTTCGGTAAACAATAAAGGAAATAAATGTTGAAATAGACAGTAATTATTTCAACCTAGATGCAGAACAGTTCACCTGCAAGGTAACTCCTAGTCATTGTAGTCGATTCCATTGATACGGTATGTGGGCAACTGAAGGTGATGTGTGAAGGTGGACGAGTGACCAAAACAAAACAAGGCCGATTCAATTATCTTCCTTGATTGATTCCTTGAATTATGACAGGCATTCCTCATTTGCCGTGAACCTCGATTTGCACAAATTGATAGAAGGAAATGTATACAAGCAAAACAAGACACATTTGTTATTAGTCTGGTTTACCAGGTGGAATATTTGTAAGTGGTCAATTATATAAAGTGTTATTGTGTGGAAATGTAAGTTACTTCATCTCTACGTTTCTAAATGCTCCAGGCTTGACAACTTTTTTTTTTACAGACATTTAACCCCCCCTCCCCCCAAAAAAAAGAAAAAAAGAAGAAGAATAAAACAAATAAAAATAAAATATAAAATAAATAAATAAATGAACGAAATAATTTGTTTAAAAAAATTAATAAATAAAAAAATCCTATTTCAATATTGTTTGGAAATTGATGACTAGAAATAAAAATATTGAAGTTGTTACCCCCTAACAGTTCTACTCACTAAAAAGAATAATTCAAGTACCATGGACAGACAGTCAAAAGGAGTTTCTTGCAATGAGGTTCCACTGTATAGTACCGACTGTAAGATGAATTAAAGTCAGTAAATGTATTCAATTTTGAAATAACCCTCTGTTTCTCCTGTCTTAATACAGCCTGAAGTTATCGGGTCATCACATACGCCCCATCCCAAGTGTGGACACATTCTCCTACCCTGAGATGACGGTCGTGGATCATGTGAACACACTAGAAGAAGAGATCATTGAATCTGATGGAACGGTAGAAGAATTCTTTGCATACGATAAAGCGAGACAAGCGTGAGTGGAGTTTTTATAATAATAATAATAATAATAGTAATAATAAAATTCTTTTTGCCCAATTGATCGTGAGCCCGGCAGCCACTGAGCAGCGCCAGATCGACGTTGCTCTATCCCTTATTGTTGAATGCCAAACAAGGTAGCAACAACTCCCATCTTTTAACGTCTTTTGGTATGACGCGACCGGGGTTCGAACCCACGACCTCCCGGTTGTGAGGCGGACACTCTACTGACTGAGCCAACACTTCGTAGTTTGGAAGTGTGTATCCTCCCCCCCCCCCCATCCACCATATTATTCTTGCATTATTCTTGAGGTGATGCTTGCTGAAGGCGTATGTGTCATTCAAACTTCATTTTGATCCATCAAAACATCCAGGTATTTCTGGGAACCCCCCCCCCCCCCCCCCAAAAAAAAAAAAATTCCCTCTAAAGCAAGACTTTGGAGGAATGCGATACATTACAGAACGGGCAGTGCGCAAACACACTGGCGGCGTTCTGGAAATTCTCAGAGCCGCCAAAGACGAGGGATTCTGAAGAAGTGTTACGTCCTCCCTTTCGTCAAATGTACGATGTTTTATGTTTTCAGATAATGGCCTACAAACAGGTTTGTTCCCCCTTTTGACTTATACTACGGTATGCGATTTATACCCTTAAAAAGTCTCGAACCAAATGTAAAATTAGAGGGAAAAAACCTTAGAAATTAAGATCTTCAGATATTATTTTTTCCTTCAATAATGAAGTACGTTCTGTAGATTCATGACTATGATTTGTATTTCTTGAGAATCCAATGCCAGGAATGGTTAGAGGAGATAGCGGCATGAATGGCCTGCTATAGTTCAGGTCCAACTTAAGTTGATCTTAGTCTTTGTGAAACACTCCCACGAGGGAAGTAGTTGCGATGCCCTTCTGGTTCCAAAAAGAAAATCTGGGATCTGTTTCACAAAGCCTTTTTTCAATGACAGATGACAAAACCAGTGACATATCTGCTGATAACCAATCAGAAGCAAGGATTTCAGTAGCTTATAACAAAACCTGTCATTTGTCACTGATGACAAGTTTTGTGAAACTGATCTTCATTCTCCTGTGAAGATTGCAGAAGTAACATCTCTTTCAATTGAATGTATTTTTCATAATCAATTTTTCGAGTAAATTGTATCTTGCTTTTTCTACTTGCAGAGATGATGATAATCATGAGAGGAAACTGGATCACACGGCGCCAAGGAGAGAAGGCTTTCCCCCACTCACACCCAGTGCGTGCATACAGAACACGGTGCTTAGTCAAACCTTTGATGTCCTATGGGCTGAAGTAGTCACATGGATGAGGTTACTTATCAAGATACATCAAGAAGGTAATAATAATGATAGCGCTTAATACATCTATGATGTCTCGAAGCATTTTACGGATATACTACTACCCTGGTCATTGGATTCAATACTTTCCTGCACACACTGTGCACAATCTCCATTCCCTGGGGAGCATTCCAGCCAGGCGTTACTTGAAGCTCAAAATCTGTCTGACCAACAATGACGGTCGCATCCTACCGGGTACCCATTTAACACCTTGGTAGAGAGTAGCAAGTGCAGGTTAATATCTTGCCAAAGAATAGTAGTGCCGTGTCGTGATTTGAACCCTCGACCTTCGCATCTCCAGTCAAGCGCCTTAAACCACTTGGCCACGTAAAGATTGCATCTTATTCATCAGTTTGTGGGACTATGATATGGAATTGATAAGAAAATATTATATGGAATTGATAAGATATTATTTTTGATACTGTGTACAGTGCAATAATTTCATGTAACTTTGAGCAAGACTGGGTCAATATCTTACCATTTTGATGATGCCAAAACCTCGCAGTATACACCAATGATTAAGTGTTACATGATCAACCTCTTCCAATAGTTTCCACACAGGTTCTTTCTCAATGCAATCGCATGACCGGAACTCGACTTTATCTTTAAAAATGGCATCATTGACAAATGAAAATGTATGGGTTTTATACCTCAGTCACGCCTTTGCCTATTTGGCTTGCGTATTGCTGCGTATTTATGGCAAGCCATTTTAACATTTATTTCTATTTCTTGATATCAAGAAATGATTTTCTGTTGTAAAGCAATGGTAATTCTTGATATCAAGAAATAGGAATAAATTTTAAAACGGCTTGCCATAAATACGCAGCAATACGCAAGCCAAATACGCAAAGGTGTGACTGCAGGCATAAGGAATGCATGTTCTAATTTAATGCAAGGAATACTTGCCATGGGACGGCATTGATGAGACAATGATTAAAACACAGACATGACATTCTAAGCCTTGCAGAACTTGAATCACAAGTGTTCACCAGACCAAAGGCTATACAGTCAAATTTGTCTACAGCGACCGCCCAAGGGAAACACAAAAAGTTGTATTTGTAGACAGGTTCCTTTAGTACATGTTGCAATATGAGAAATCATTTTGAAGGGAAACAAAAAATATGCTTGATGCAGACAGGTGGTCTTTGTGGACAGGTGGTCACTAAACCAGGTTTGACTGTATATATATACCAGCGTGGACCAATCCTTTATATTCTTGGGTCAATTTCTAGATAAAGAAAAGTGGTCTTTGTAGACAGGATCCTTTAGTACATGTTTCAATGAGAAACCTTTTTCAAGGGAAACAGAAAATGTGCTTGTTGCAGACAGGTGGTTTTTGTAGACAGGTGGTCACTAAAACAGGTTTGACTGTATATATACCAGCGTGGACCAATCCTTTATATTCTTGGTCAATTTCTAGATAAGGAGAAGAACCTAATGAGCCGACCAGCCGTGGAGCCTGATCATCCAGATACCAATCTGACACCTACCATGGCACCTACCTACGTCATACCACTCAGCCCCAGCCCTCTGGGGGTGACGGCAGGGAGATTCATGGACCCGCCTAGCAAACTAGCTCCTATAGGATCTGTAAGTGTATTAACCTAACTTCTTGGGACAGGATTCACTTGTCCTTTAATTATTGGCAACAATGCTATTTTTCTTTTATCGCTATATGGTTTAAAAAAAATGTAATGTCTCTGATAATAATGTACATGGGAGAGAATGGTGTTGAAAAGTTGAACATTTGCAAATGTTGATTAAAAAAGCAATGATTTTGAATTTCCCAATGTGTTGCCAATTTAAGGATTTAAAATCTTATTTCCTTTTTAAAATTCCTGACATCAAATGCGAGATAGTTATAAAACAAAAATGGATGCAGTACGTGCAGAACTTTTTTCCCTTTCTGTTCATGCATCTTGCATATTTTTTGAGGCTCTGAATCAAAAGTTATTGGGACAAACTATAAAATTTGGAATGATTGTCACAAAAGGGTAAATACTGAATATGAAATATTAATATTGTACCCAGTATTAAGCTTGGCTAAAACACTTTGACAGCTTTAATTAGCCGATTAGTTTGGAGGCTATGATTAGCAGGCATATCATTCATATGCAGTCATTATAAGCTGCGCTCAATTATTTAGTGCGTCTAATACAAGTTAATTGCACATTATTTTGGATCGACTTTGTAACCTCAGTAATCTTCTGCAAGGAATTTTACCTCAGAGACAGCTGTAACAGTAAAATGCTTTATTTATATGGTCTGTTAAGAAGTTCACTGACCTCTCAAATTTTTGCATTAACCCTTTTAGTTCCGTGTGGGACCGTCGACGTCCTTCAACTGGCAGGCACCCAAGTCCAAATCGCTGACCGGCGTGATGACCATCTCGTCAAAGGCACTTCATATTCGACAGGGGGAGAAAGACAGGGTACCATCTGCTATGACGTAAGTACAACACATTCACACAATGGATTCCCTGTAATGATACTAGTCACAGTTGTATACCACTTAAAGGGGCAGTGGAGGTCTTGTTTCAGACTGCAAATGCCTTCAAAGTGCACGGTTATTGCTCTTATTCTTATTTAAGACATTTCTAATGCTCTTTTAGGACCTAAATTGGCTATGAACGTAATTTTAGACACCAAAATGTGTGAAATTTAGCCAATACGATCATACCAATTCAATTCCACTTTCAAAAAGATCCGGTGACCTTTAATTAATTAATTAGTTAATGATAACAATACACAATAACAAAGCCAACAAAAAGCCAACATCGGCATTGGCTGAAATAAAATGTATAAAGCGCTATCTCGTTTTTTTCAACGGCTGGTTCAAATTATCAAATATTTGTGGGGCACTACAAATATTAGAAATCGTTATATTTATGAATATTTCAGCCATCTCTGAACCGATTTTGATCAAACAGATGATTTTGTCAATAAAATTATATGTTCTTTCAAATTTGACATTCGGTTTACCTCACAAAAACTTATTTTTTGTAGCGCCCTCTGCACCAAAACTCAACTATCCCTTTAATACAATGTTTCTAAGCGCTTTAAATGTGTAATTATTACTATCCCGGTCATTAGATTCAAATTCTAATCTGCACATGATGGTACACATGCTCTGCTCCCCTGGGGAGTATTCCAGTTAGCACCATGTGTATACAATAGCGTAGACAACACAGTCATCACAGGTTGTTCATGTGTATAGTGCAGTTTGCCTTTGTCATGATTTACGTCCCAGGATGACATCCAAATAATTTTCGATGTCTCCTTTGTTTAATATTACAGAGGAAAAAAACACACAGAAGCTTTAATTATTGCTAGTACTCTCCTGTTTATCATCTAAATTCAAAGACATTGGACCAAAGTTTTTTGAGGGCTTACCAATACTGTACATGACTTTAAAGTGGCTCGATAACATTGTCTCAGATTCTGAAACAAAATCCTGGATTTAGCTCATGCTGCACTGATAATTACATGTAGAAACCTTTAGGTCAGTCCGGAACTCCATGACTTTTACTTTTTTGAGGCACTTCATGATCATTTTGAAACGCAATTTTTTAGGGCTTCAATATTACACCATATCACAGACACTGATAACATGTAGGGCCATGCATCTTTGATTTAACTTTGTTAAACGATGCCTTTAAAACTTGTGCATTTGTATTTTGCAGTGAGGAATCTCCTGCGCTGCTCCCAGCCACCAAGGGAATCAGCAGCAGACCTACCAGTACGAGAATATCTGATGTTCCCGGCCACCGTCTACCATCAGCTAGGGTTGGTAGGAGGAGTCTTCGACCCATCGAGAGGGCCAAGACACCCAGTGTACCGGGCATGGACGCTCTCATTACTGGCAAGAGAATGTGAGTTGATTGTAAAGTGTAACCTGTCTATAGCGACTGCCTAAGGGAAACAAAAAGTGGTCTTTGTAGACAGGTTCTTTTAATACATGTTTTAATGAGAAACCATTTTGAAGGGGGAAAAAATTGTGGTCTTTGTAGACAGGTGGTCTCTAAAGCAGGTTTGACTGTACCATTTCATTGCTTTTCCTGGGGCAGTATTCTGAAAATCTTTTATGTTGGGGGAAAATGATTTTCATAACAAACTCAAAACACGTGGAACTAACACTTAATACCTATGATGTTGTATACATAGATGCCTCTTATAACTTCAGGCGAACGCAGCCAGCTTTTGGTAGACATTAACAAATGATTTGTCCCAGTTTTAATTTGTTACGACAGTTAACATCGTTTTGCTTAAGTTAAAGATACCACCCCTGTTGACTCCATAGTTATCTCAAGTTTCTTTGATTAGAAAGAAGATTGATCTCAGAAATTAAAACAGAAAAAGTTTTAGAAACAGAGAAACCTTTTGAGTAAATCAGAGACACAGGTCAGAGACTCTTTGAGAAAAAAAAATCAAAGAAACAATCTTGAAGTTATGAGTTCGTTTTTTAATTATCGCAAAGATCACAAAATGTAGCGAGCAATAATAAACCAAATGCAATTCGGATATAAAGCTATAATGTCAAGTTGCACTGCATACTTTTGGGTTTATAATTTTCAATTTCATATATCCCAAAAGTACCTTTCTGGAGCTCCTAAAATCTCATTCAGGAACCCTGGTAAAAAAAAAAAGAAGACAAACTTGTTGTTGAGCCCCTTTTTAAAAACAGATAGATGAACAGTACAACATCACTCCTGACGATGGATAGTCAACCTGTTCGAAATGTCGAGCCCCTCCTACTGCCCATCCTCTCCAACCGGCGCTATAGTTCTCTTAAGAACTATAAACTAAAAGACAGATTACCAACAGATTACCAACAGTTTTTTTCAGGACTACACACACTCAAGAAAGAAAGAAAGATTACCGACAGTCCTTTTCAGGACTCCCCAATCCTCCCCTCTCTCACATGGTGAACTGTAAGCCTATTGTATAGTACAACATCAGGAAATGACTTTCAAAAATATTTCAGCTTTGCGGATTTGATTTGATATAGGAATTTCACAGATGTATGATGAATTAGAAATTAGTATACAAATAATACACAGCAGTGAGGGCATTAGTAAGAATTACCCACACAAGGACAAGGTACCTTTTGAACAGTCTAGGGTGTCTGGACTGATTTGAAGGTACAGAGAATGGGTAATTTTTTACAAATGACCGAACAAAATGATGTGTATTATTTGTTTTATAAGATAATGTTTTATTTGTTCTTATAAAATGATGTTTTATTTGTTTTATAAGATGATGTTTTTTAACATGATTTTTACTAATGATCATTAGCATTTGATAATGACCGGTCATTATCAAAATTAATGCCTGGTCATGTGTACGCTCTCAACCAATCATTTGATTAGGTTCCACTTCATCATCTTATAATATTGAATGTGCTTGTGTTTCCTGTTCCAGGATGACTGCTAATGACAGGTTGAGTTCTCCGCCCCATCCCATGGCTGTTTCACCCCCTCGTCAGTTCAGTCGGAACACCATGCTACCTCCTATTGAGTCTGCTCAAGAGAATGGCCTCTACAGGGAACACCAAAGACCTCCTGTAAGTATGAGCTCAAATTACATAATAATAATATTCCGCTTTTATATAGTGCTTAAACCCCACTGTCCTACTTGTAGCTGCTTGCTCCCTCTATATAGAAAACTTCCCCAATCGGTGCCTGTTGGTCCCCCATGATCCTCTTTTTCTTATGTTAGTTGAGTGCTGAGTTAATGAGATAGCCACCTGTCAGTGACCTCGCTGTGTGGTCTAATCCTTTCTGGCCCAGTAATGTCTCTAAGAGCTTTACAGATATACTTTTACCTCGATCGTTGGATTCAATACTTGCCCGCAGACACTGTGTACACAATCTCCACTCCCTGGGAGCATTCCAACCAGGCGTTACTTGACGCTCAAAAACTGTTTGACCAACAATGACGGTCGCATCCTACCGGGTACCCATTAAACACCTGGGGTGGAGAGTAGCAGAAATATAAGACAAAACGAAAAGGCAAAAACCGAAGGTTTCTTATGGGATTTTCCAGTAGTGTATATGGCAGTAAAAAAGACAAAACAATGATTTTTCTAAATTGTTTGTGAGCCTTTTAAATGGTTTATATCATCAGTCATTCTTTATGTTTAACTGACTTGACCCTCCTAAACCACGAGTGTTGAAAATGTTGGGCGGAACACATGGTTCGCGGTTTGAGCCCCTCTACGGCACTGATGTCCTTTGGCAAGACATTTATCTACATTTGCCACACTCGACCCATGTGATGTAAATGGGTACCTGGTAGGAATTAATTCCTTAAAATGCCAGCCATGCTAAAGCCTAGGTAATACTTGTGGAGTGCCAGGAGTGTCAAGTTTGACAGACATGAGCGCTAAACAAGAACCCACTATTGTTATCATTATTAAATAGTGCAGCGGGTTCTTAACGTGCACAGGTGGTAACTCTCTTACCCACTTGGCCTCCATTTAAAGAGAAGGTTGAGTTCTGGGAAGAGGTGAAAAATATTTTGTGAGCGTTATCATTGTTATTATGCAAGTGTGGAAGAACATCAGATAAAAGGTGTTCCCTGAAAAGCATGGCTCTTCAAATGCCTTAATATTCTAAATATGGCATGTAACATCATAAAAATCAGGATGGATTTTTACGCCACATGTTCGTGTAGTCCCATATACACCTTTCTGTGCTTGTAACTTTATCAAGACTGGGCCAAATTTCTTATCATTTTGGTGATTCCAGAATCTACTTATATGCTAGATGATCAACCTTTTCTGATCCTTAATTTCCATGTTTCTTTCACAATGCAATCGCATGACCAGAACTCAACTTTATCTTTAACGCTGTTGTTCTTGTTATTCCTTTTCTTCACCGTAGACGTCATCGGGGAAGTGGGATCTTCCAAGGCATCGGATATCTAGTGCCGTCATCGATGGTGGAGGGCAGAGGCCGAATAAGAATCTACAGCCATTCCCTTACAATGACTCCAGGCCGAACACTACACATTCTTTCAGAGACAGGGTAGGTTGGTCTTTAAAGGGACTTGGTAGCATTGTTCAGATGGGAGATAGTGGTGCTAAGGTAGTGACTTCAATGCTAGATGTACAATTAAAGATAATCTGAAAATTTGAGTGAAAACGGACCATTATTCATGGTACAAATTGGGAATTAAAACTGATCTGATCGATTCCTTAATTCACCCTGCTATATTATTACAATTTTATTACATTTTAGGTGCATGTAAATCGTTACAAAGCAATAAAATGGCTCTGCATTCCATTCCAGACATTTAAGTGCTGACAGATTTTTTATAGCCTGTTTTATGTCTTTATGGAAAAACGGCTGGGAAAATTCAAAAATGTTTGGGAGAATTTACTGTTTATCACTGTTAGAGGTTGTCATACATTGACGCCTTCAAAGAAAACCATAGATATCTTCGTGGTTTGAGACTTTTATCAGGATTTTTTGCTTGTCAGTGGGTTAGTACAGTAGAAGGAATATATTAAGTAACCTTTTATACAATAATTAAGCGAATTTTTCATCAACCTTCAACAATGTTACCGAATCACTTTAATAGAAAACACTGTCATTTGCCTCTTCCTCGTCTTTGGCCGTGTCCTCCCCTTCCCACTTTTTCTTTTACATCTCTCCTACCTTTGATTGATTGATTGATATGTTTTATTTCAAATTGGGTAATTTAAAAAAAAAAAAAACAGGTTTAAACATTTACAATGTACATATAAAATCAAATTAAATATGTGAAACAAAGTAATAACATTTAAATACAAATAGTTGGAAAATGAAATAGGGTGTATCAGTAAAAGCCTATGTGGCTTGACAAGTTGATACACCCATTACAAAGAGTGAACAAAATTATATATAAATTTCAGGTAGCTGTCGGTTACATACTAAATGTGTTTATTCCTCTCATTCAATATTTATCAGGTAAATTCTCTGATGGAAAGTGGGATATTGTTCTATGTTTGGAGACAGCTTTTTGGTAGATGAGAGTCTGGATTTGGGAATAATGAGTACACGTATATGTTTGTCAGGTGTTGAGCATAGGTTATGAGCTGGTTTATAATATATGGAGAGTGTCATTAAAGGCACACTGTCCTACTTGTAGCTACTTGCTCCCTCTATATAGAAAACTTCCCCAATCGGTGCCTGTTGGTCCCCCATGACCCTCTTTTTCTTATGTTAAATGAGAGCTGAGTTAATGAGATAGCCACCTGTCACAGTGACTTCGTAGGCTCGCTGGGTGGTCTAATCCCTTCTAGCTGAAGTATTAAAGCCTGCCTTTAAGATATTTAGGTACCGTATAATTCAGAACTTTGAAGACATACAAGCAGGTCTTCAGAAGAAACATGTTGTAGAGATAACCAGTAGAGTTACTTATTCGAGGGAGAAGTACGAGTCCAAGATCCCAGAATATTAATCTAGCAGTTAGATTCTGGACAGTTTCAAGTTTCAGTATGATTCCCAGTTCCATTGATTAGGAAAGTTTGGCCAACCCGGTTCGAGTTGGACACAATATGGCGACTGGGCAAGCACAAAACAAAAGAATATACACCAATGTTGTGACCCAGTGAAACCAAATTGGCCAAACTCTGTGTATAGATGGCTCTGATGATACCTATGTCACTCCGCCATCTCTGTCTATCTTTGTCCACAGTCTTCTGACATGATGCTAGCCAGACGATCCTCCACGCCTCAGAGCAACCTCAACATCTTCAAAGCCGCTTCAGGAACCATGCAAGGTATAGTGTTTCTCTTACACCTCGGTAACACCTTTGCGTATCTGGCTTGCGTATTGTTTTAACATTTATTCCTTTTTCTTGATATCAAGAAATGAATTCTTGATATCAAGAAATGATTTTCTGTTGTAAAGCAATGAGAATTCTTGTTATCAAGAATTCGATTTCTTGATATCAAGAATTAATTTCCTGATATCAAGAATTCAATTCTTGATATCAAGAAAATAGGAATAAATGTTAAAACCGCTTGCCATTAGTACGCAGAGGTGTTACAAAAGTCTGTGTGAAATGATAAACTCGTTGTTGTAGAGGTGTCATTGTCTAGTGGATAAGTCACTGGACTGTGGATCGCAAGGTTTGTGGTTACTAATGCCTTGTGACAAGATATTAATCTACATTTGCCACTCTCCACCCAGGTGAGGTAAATGGGTACCCTATAGGGAAAAACTTCCTTGAATGCTTGAGCGCCTGTCATTTCATCTCTATCATCTTTTCTCTCTTCCTAGGGGTACCTGGACAGCTGAATGACCTTGGGGTCATCACAGGGCGTGGCATCAACCCTGGCGGACTCTCCCAGCTGGAGGGTAACATCGGTAACAGTCAGTACGGGTCCCAGCAGCAGAGCTACCTCAAGACGTTATAGCGATGGCTCCCTGTGCGGCTGACTTAAAGGCGCACACAAACACACAAACTATTGAACTTTTTTTCTTCATATTATGAAACAATTCGCCAAAGAGTCATGCTGCGCAACCAGTGTTTCTTATTGTGTCAATGTTTGATCAGAACTGGAAGGCTGGACGCTGTATGAGTCAATCCCCGGCTGTGAAAGATGACGTTTGGAGACATGTCAGAAAGAGCCATGCTCCGCAACAAGTGTTTCTTATTGTGTCAATGTTTGATCAGAACTGGATGGCTGGACGCTGTACGAGTCGATCCCTGAGTGTGAAAGATGACGTTTTGAGACATGTCACAAAGAGCCATGCTGCACAACCAGTGTTTCTTCTTGTGTCGGTGTTAGATAAGAGCTGGACGCTGTATGAGTCAACCCTCGACTATGAAAGATGACATTTTGAGACATGTCACAAAGAGCCATGCTGCGCGACCAGTGTTTCTTATTGTGTCAATGTTTGATCAGAACTGGATGGCTGGACGATGTATGAGTTGATCCCCGACTGTGAGAGATGACGTTTTGAAACATGTCACAGATCAAGTGCTATGAGTACCTGGCTGTGGAGAAGACATCATGTTTAGCTTCACTTCAAATATCAAGAAATTGGAAAAATGCAGAGAGGCTCAATTGGACCAGGTCCTGTAGACCAGGGGGTGTTTCACAAAGACCCTAAAGTCGAACTTAACTCGAAGTTGGACTTAAAAATTATGGAGAGCCATTTGTAGCCTTAAAATAAAACATATTCAAAAGCGAAAAATCAAGTATTTTAGACTTTTTATAAATTCCACATCAAGAACATGAAATCTCCTTGTTAATAGAAAATACATATACATGTATGTATGATTTTAATCAACATTTTATGCCTTTTAAAATAACTTTTACAAAATATTTTCAAATATGCTAACGGCTTTCCATAATTGTTGAATCCAACATAGAGATAAGTTCAACTTAGGATGTTTGTGAAACACCCCCTGGTCCTGTAGACCAAGTCATATGGACTTGGTTTGTGGACCTGGTGAACAGTTGGTACTTGAAGCTGATTAAAATGTTTGTGCCGAGTTCACGTTGAACTGTCACTGCAATTTCGTCTGTTTCCTTGTCTAAAACTGTGGTGTTAAAACAGAGATGCCAAATTATTGCTCTTTTGTGTTTCTGATCTCTTTTTTTAAATGACGATTTCTTTACAATGTGCGTTGAAAACTTGAACGATTTGTGTCTCTTTTTGCAGGCCTTTGATATGCAGATGATAGCTACAGGGGCATGTACAAACATAAGGAGAGAATGTATCATTATGCTATTCCCTCAAAATAAACGAACTGGAACTTTTTTTTTTTTTTTTTCCCCATGATCATGGAAAAACCTTGAAAGTCATGGAAAAATACATTATTCTGGAAAGTCATAGAAATACAATTTTTAAAAATCTCCCCAAAATATGGAAAATCATGGAAATTGTGAGAGGAGGTGGAGGTCATCACAAACATGAAATAATATATATCACTGGGCTATACTCGTAGTCGTTAAATGCCACAACCCATACCAAAATGGGACTTACCTGGTCATGAAAGTCATGGAATTTGGTTCTCAAATTTCTGTGGGAACCCTGATAAAATTCCAATTTAATTTTTTGGGGTTAGTCATGGTAATGAAGTTGGTTTCCATATACAATTACATATGTTTGTTTATGCATTTCAGAAAATTACATATTGCTCGGCATTTGCAGAAGCTTGCAAAAGGATACACAATTTTTAGGCAGTCTGAATTTCACTTTTAAAACATATACCTGTATCTTGCTAAAGGGTTGCAAGTAATCATTTGAGACTCCTTCAGATATGACTTGGCAAACTGTCGCAAAAGAAAATGTTTTAAAATAAAATAATCTGTGAACGAATGACAACTTTGCACAACACAGGTCCTGCATGTATTCATTTAGCTCTGTGTTACATGTATAAGATACAGAAATGTGATGTGTATTACACTTTTAATTAAAAAACAGCGACATATCTAAACGAGGCCTTACATTTTGAACAGCTAGAAACGCATTGGCCCGAATTCACAAAGGAGGTTTAGATTTAACCCAGGCTAAATCTAACCCTGGGTTATTTAGCCCAGGCTAAATCTAACCCACGGTTTAAACCTCGCTCGGTATTCACAAAGTGTGGGTTAAATAACCCATGGTCTAAATCTAACCCACGGTTTAACCCACGGTTTAAGCATGCCTAAGAGACCAAAAATATAAACTGAGCATGCGCAGAATTGAAGCATTGAACTGAGCATGCGCGCTCAGTACACTTGGTTACTCCACCTAGTTCACCGTCGTCTGCTAAGTCCAAATTCAGTTGTATTTGGGCTATTACTCTTCGCCTACAAGTAGAGACTGAAAACCGACCGATTTTAAGTTGAGATAAGACTTTAAACCACTATTCACATACTAAAACAGTTCTCTGACAGATGTCCTCAAAATATTACCGAATTTCGCAAAAATTACCTCAATAATTCCTCACTATCGTTGTTAATTTATGGCCTATAATCGTCCGACATAATTATGATCAGCTGGGCATCACAACACACTAAACATCGACAGTTTTCGTGGAAGAGTCCACAAAAAACTTCTGTAAACGACCCTTAAACCAGAGTGAAAATTTTCTATGATGTAGTGTTCATTTTAGAGCTATATGATCACATTTTCGTTGATTGTTATGATGATTTTAGAGCGTAGGTCACACTTTAGTTTAGCAATTAATCAATCCGAAGTAAGAGTAGACTCGTGTTATATAATAGCGTAGACTCCGTAGAGGCAGCGAAAGCGATCGATGACGTTTAGTCCAGAATGTGTTGATGATGTAGAAAGAAAGGGCTGAAAGGTTACGATAAATACTATCTGATAGAAAATACTGGCATTAATGCATAAAATGCATAGATGTATTGAGAAGAAAAAAAACCGGGCTTACTGGTCATATAAAATAAGCAAAAACAAGGCAGTCTTGACATGTGATAAAGAATTATTAGGCCTAATTCGGGGGGGGGGGGGGGGGGGGGGGGGGGACATTAATTGTTTTCTTAGGGGATGGTTTTTTTTTTTTTGAGGGGGGGGGGAGTTAATTTTGTTCTTAATTTTTCATAGGGGGGAGGGGGCATTAATTGTTTTCTTACGGGGTGGGGGTAATTTTGTTTTTAATTTTTCTTAGGGGGGAGGGGGCATTAATTGTTTTTTTAGGGGAGGCATTAATTTTTTCTGAATTTGTTTATTTGCTGTATTAATTCTTTTCTTAGGGGGGCGTTCATTTTTTTTTCCTTAATTTTTCTGCTTTATTGAATTTCTCAAGGGAATAGTGATTTAAACACAAAGAAAAGAACTTTTTTGTAAATTTCGTCTCTACTTCTCACTCTTTCACCTTCCTTGTTTTTGTTTGTTGTCTCTCTTTTTTCACCAGCTCTCCACCCCACCTCTCTCAAATATCTTTTTATTTTGTTAGAACTCCATTTGTTAAAATCCCTCTCGTACCCCTTTTCTTTCTCTTTTTTCTCCATCTCTCTCTCTCACACATACCCTTTCTCCTTCTTTCTTCATCTCTCTCTCTCTTTATCTTTTTCTCTCTCTCTGCGGGTGTTTGGATTTAGCGAAATATACTGAATCCATTTTAATTCATGGTGTGTACTGGGTAATTATAAGTAATAGATAACAGCAAATGGTATATTAATAATTAAACAAGATAAACAAAGTAGGTCATTCACTTGTAAAACGTTTACCTCCTAACTTAATGATTTCACGAGAAAAACCACATCATCAAACAAGAGAAATTTATATTTAAATATTGACGATTTAATATGGATAATCAAAACAAGTATTCAAGGTTATTGACGAAGACAATGTTGAAGTCGATGATGATGTCAGTGATGATAATGATGACAGCAATGTTGTCGGTGGCGATGGTGATGAAGCAGTCAAATAACGATTTCAGTGATGATGTTGATGAAGATGATGACGATTTCCCTTTCAAAGTGGTTGGTACCTTTTGCAAAAATGTTTTTGGGAGGAACTATATCAACCATTAGATTTCAAATCATATGGTCTAATTGTTTCAGACCACAGTACTGCATGGGTGTACGTTTCGTTCAGAGAAACCAAAGGGTGAACCAATTCCATATCGGTCATTTAATTAATTGGATTAAAAGTAAATGGGGAGCATCTCCAAAAAAAGGGAAAATTTTCATTTCATTAATAGAGTATCTGTTCTTCCTATTAATAAAATACAGGGCTTGATCTCCACCAGGACTCCTGATGTAGACATGAGTCCTATCAATTGCACCTAGAAAACCTGGCAACCTGCAGTATTGGTAGAACTGCTGCTGTGTTGCTTCTACTTCTTCTCTTGATGTTGGGAACTTCATGAATTCTTTCCTTCTTCTTTCAAATGCTTCTGACACGTCTTTGATGACTCTGCATACAGAAGACTGTGAAAGTTGTGCCTCATCACCATGCATCTTTTGGAATGACCCTGTAAAAAGAAAAAAATCCTTTTAGTGAAATATCAACTAGTACAATTTCTTACAAGTTACATGGCCAGATCAAATTCTCAAACTGAGAAATGTTTAAAGTCCTTAAAATTGTAGAATAGATTTTTTATTAAATCAGGGCTGTCAACCCTCTTGCATTTAGAGGGAGTCTCACGCCACCACGCCCTTCCTCCCGCTTTGATGTAGAATCTCCCGGTTTATGAAAAAACCTCCCGCAAAACATGGTAACCGCAATTTTACCCTTTTACTTTTTCGCTCAGCCCAGATTAAATAGAAATTTACTAAATACTAAATAAGGTAAATTACTCACCAAAAGCATAGAATCGACGTGCTGTCACTACCTGTATAGGTATTGGGTCGTTTCTGTCTGTCGTCCTCCTCAGCTCTTCATCCACCAAGTTGATGAGGTAGAGCGCTGTCTCTTTGGAAAACCAGTACCTGGTCCGAAATGACTTATCATCATACACTTCAAAAGGGTTCATGGGTCACGAAGGCCTCTCTGAGGTCTGCCTATCAACTCTCTGTTCCGATCAAGCTGGCGGAGATGGTGAATATATTCAGCCATGCTGTCTCTGTCACAACAAAATAGAAAAAAGTGAATTAAAATTAGAACATATGAAATGAAAAAATATCATTCATTGTTTATCAAATAAATCCTATGATATTACATGTTTTGCATTCTTTGTATTGTAGACAATCTGATTTTGAATAGCTTTTGCAAACTCTAAAAAAAATATTAACGATACTTTGATTGCATTAAAGAAATGAGTGCTATTGATTCATACTATTGGGCAATTAGAAAAGATGATGTCACTGAACCTCCATAAGAACGTAGGGGCCAATTCCTGTCATGTTTTGTTAAAAATCTACTCATGCTTGATAAAATGTGAAATTAGATACATGTAGATGTACAAATTAGCATTAGATGTCCCATGTGAAAGGTTGAATTTGACTAAGATTACATGTAGATTAGGAAGAACACACATTGATTTATTGGCTATTTGATTGCACAGATTTTAAACTTGCTTCAAAATTCAAGTAGGCCTAGGTCTAGGTCTACAACAATGTATTGATGTAGACTCTAACAGTAACAGTTAGGCCTAGACATGATCATGATGTAGACTAGTATAAATTTATAGGAGATGAGTGTAGAGACATTCGACAGTCAGTACTAGAGTCTAGTCTAGAGTCTAGATCTAGTAGATCTAGATGGGCCTAAAGACAAAGTACCTCTCATTCAGCTCAGACTTGTGCTCGAACTCGGTGACGGTGAGACACACAAACACTCAACTTCTCAAGACACAACACAACAAACCATCGGCGCGGGCTTGGCATGAATTTATGAAAAGTAGACCTAGATCTAGTCTAGATTTCTAGTTTTACTTTTAGAAAGGTCTAGATTCTAGACCTAGACCACTAACTTTAGTCTAGATTCTAGATCTAGAGCCTGAGGTCTATACCGGTAGACCCTACGGCCTAGGTCTACTAGTTCTAACTTGTTAGATCTAGAAAGTCTAGAGTACTAGACTAGACCTCTAGACCTAGATCTAGATCTAGACTAGACCTAGACTAGATCTAGGTCTAGACCCTAGGCCTAGGACTAGTCTAGATCTAGATCTAGGTCCATTTTGAAAAATATTTTATTCCATTTCAATTTCTAAATCTAGAATAGGGTCTAGACTAGACTAGATCTAGTCTAGACTCTAGATCTATCATCTAGATCTAGACTAGGGTCTAGGTCTATTTCTAGACCTCTAGATCTAGGCTAGATAGTCTAGATCTAGTCTAGACTAGATCTAACTTTAGATCTGCATCTTTTACAATAATTTACAAAATACTTTTAATAAATTCATGCCATGGTTTGGCGTGCTTTGACTAATTTCTTGAAACTGAGGACTAACGTTAGATCTAGATTATTAGATCTAGATCTAGTCTAGGCCTAGTCTAGTCTAGATCTAGATCTATCATCTAGCCTAGGCCCACGTCGTGTTTGCGTGTCTCACTGCCACCGACTTCGAGCTCAAGCTCAGGTCTACCGAGTGTCAGTGTAGAAATCTAGGCCTAGTAGTACTAGAGACTAGTCTAGATCTAGGTCTAGACCAGGCCTCTGTATATAGTAGGCCTAGATCTAAGTTAGACTAGACTAGTAAAATCCATCAGTGTGGAAGAATTTTCATTTTCATTTCGGCATTTTTCGTTCTCCGTTAGTCAGATGAGAAGCAGCATCAGCAGAGGAGAAAATACAAATGGAACTGTCGCTACCCCCCCCCCCCCGAGGCCAGGAATGTCTCAAATGTCATGATTAACATATTTTTCTTCCCGAATCACACAATTGTGTGATGTTATAGGCCTAACTAATTTCGTATTGTTAGCTGGCACATTCGCAGTTATTGCGAAATTGCCTTGCCTCGCAGGATTACATAAACAACACAACACAAATACACACGCATGGGTCCGAGCTGCGTTAGGTTCTGCGACAATGTTCGCAAAGGCTGTGCAACTTACGATGAAGATTATTATTCGTGCACTTTTTACGCATATAAATCATGTTCAATTGGGCTTCCATTGTAGCAGAACTGAGAATATGGTACAAATATGTTGTGAATAACTAAAAATACTTACAATGTAGGCTATCAAAGTTGAAAAAACAGCAACTTTGTGAAGGTCTCTTCACTTTGTTTCACCACAAATTTGTCAACAAAATTTGTACGGTCGTCTGCGCTAAATTAAAGCCAAAGCTCGCTGGTATGACGTCATATGACGCGTTTTTTTTTAGCCCGCTGTTTAAACCACCCTTCTGAGCAGGCTAAAATTATGACGTAATATGACGCGATTTAGCCTGGGTTAAATCTAAACTTCCTTTGTGAATACCAAAATAATTTCGGAGTACTACAGAGCAAACTACCTACGGGCAAACCCATCCAAGACTCAGGTGTGTGTTTTCCACTTGAAGAACAGGGAGGCAAAGAGAGAACTGAAGCTAAAGTGGAACAATGTGCAACTTAACCACTGCGAGCATCCAGTGTATTTAGGTGTAAAACTTGACCGCACTTTATCCTTCAAGAAACATATCGAGAAGACAATAGGCAAAGTAGAATCTCGAAATGCCATCATCGGGAAGCTAGTATCTTCACACTATGGCGCTGACCCCAAAACTGTACAAAGTGCAGCTGTTGCTCTATGCATGTCATCCGCAGAATATGCTTGCCCAGTTTGGAGCAGATCAGCCCATGTGAAGAAGCTTGACACCACACTCAATAACACATATCGAAAGATAACAGGATGTCTGAAACCAACAAAAGTTGAGGAGATATATCACCTCGCTGGCATTGGATCTCCTAACCAAAGGCGCACTAACACCTGCCTAAAGGAACGGATGAAGCAGGCGACAGATGACAGACACATGCTACACGGATACTTACAACCCCACAAACGACTTATATCCCGACACAGCTTCCTCGATTCTGTCCCACCACCTGAACAGAATCCTCCACCATCAGTCAAGCCCGTACTCATCAAAGGTCTTAACCTGAAGTGGCCGGAGTGGCAATGCCTAAATCGAATGCGGACGAGAATGGGACGGTGTAAGGTCAATATGGCAAGATGGGGCTATGCCCATGAAGGAGATACTCTCTGCGACTGCGGAGAGACTCAGACGATGGACCACCTCTTGCAGTGCGGCGGAACGGGTTGCACAGATGAAGACCTGTCCCTTGTTAATGAAACGGCCATTGCAGCAATCGAGCGATGGAAGAACTTAATTTAATTTAATTTACTTCTAAGTTAAGGAACTTTACATTACTATCTTGATCTAAGGAGACACGAACGAACGAACCAAAATAATGACCCATGGTCTAAAGCTCGGGGTTATGACGTATTATGACGCGATTTAGCCTGGGTTAAATCTAAACCTCCTTTGTGAATTCGGGCCATTAGGTCTCACTCCGAATTACTAGTACTGTTATAAACTGTGGTATGAAAAATGTGATGGCACAATTTGGACAAAGGTCAGACACTTTCCAGTCATTAATGTAAGAGAGTTTATAAGTCGAGTTTGGGAAATCACACGGGCAGCTGCTACAAGTCTAGTTGTATCATGCATAACAGAGAAAGGTCAACAAACTATTCAGGGAGGAGGCTTTTACATGGCTGAAATTATGAATACTACTATGCTACAGGTATTTTCTTCTGGTTCTTTTTCCATTGCCTCTAACAAAAACACAAAAAATAGCTTACTTTTTAGGTTATTACCCACTCGTGTTTCTTCTTTGCCTATTTTTACTTGAACTCCTCAACTATGTCTTTATCAATCCTTGTATGATATGATTTATATATTTCTGATTGGACATGTGGTTGATCTGTTTGTTTTGATATCATATAATTTTGTTGGTGGTTGGTCTTACTGAGGTATGCTTTTCCCTCCCCCCATCTCCGTTGGAAAGCGGTTTCTTTTAATTGAATCGGACTATCCTCCACTGTTTTATCAATTGTAATAGATAAAACATGAATAAATAAATAAATAAATCTCTTAAGTGGAATGTGCCAAGATTCAAATCGGTAGTCCTAGCTTCGTGGGTAGCTGGAGTGTTCCATAATGAAAATAAGGGGAGTGGAGCACGGGATAAGTGTCATCTTTAAAGATATTTCAAAGGTGTAGAAATGAACATTAATTGGAAATTGGAAAAGAAAAGGTTCTTTTTTTTCCTTGCAATTTGGAAATAAGGTGTGTCTATTATGCATTGCTTCAAAAAGTACTTTTCATTTTCTTCATTCATTTGCCAAATGCTACACTTTTACTCCACTCATAGAGTTCATTTCTTCTCTAAACGAAGGAAAATTGGGACAACTTTGTGAAAGTTTTGGGCAAAATCAATACGTTTTGTTACTTCTGCAACACACATCCAATGTTGCTTATCTTTAACATTTTCATCAAATTAATTTTTTTTTCTTCCAGACACCATGCTTAAACTAAACAATATAGAATTACAATTTACATTCATTTACAAAGAGTAGATTCTAGCTAATACACTCTACCTTATTTACGTTTTTCTGATATATACGTCAGGCATATTTTTCTTTGTATATATACATGTATTTTTGGAAGGAGGAGATAATGGACGGATAAATCTTGCCTTGTATGTGAAATCATTTTCATTATCATCTTTCCTGTTTGTTGTTGTTGTCTGTAGGTTCAGGGGTGTCTCGGGCATTTCGTAGAAGAAACCCGTAATAAACAAAATTGCATAAAATATCCTTGGTTTGTTTCCTATTTCCTTTGGCAAGGCATTAATCTACATTTGCCACACTCGACCCAGGTGAGGTAAATTGGTACCTGGCAGGAATTTATTCCTTGAAATGCGAGAGCGCTGTAATGGCAGCTAGGTTAAAGCCGGGGTAATAATTAATGCGCCTCAGAATTGAATTTCTAGATATCCGGTAGACAAAGCTATAGAAATTCCTATAATTATTATTATTATTATTTCCATTATGTATTCCTTATTCAGTTCCTTTTGGGTTTCAATTTTGTGCCTGGGATTGAACCCACAACCTTCTGCATTTCCAGTTGTATCCCTGTCCCAATGTTTGACAGGGGTTTTCTGGCCAACGAGAATGCCTTGGGCTCTTTTGTGACGAAACTATTTTCTAAATCTCATTAATTTCCAGTGGCGAAGTGTTATTTACAGATGACCTTTTGCCTCATTTTCAGCAAATTTTACAAAGTGTTTTTGCTCAGTTCACCAGGGCAATGTCTCGCGAAAACGTCATAAGTACAAGCTCAACGACATCCCATTAAAATGCGGGTTAAACTTAATACACGCATTTCAATGAGATGTCGTTGGACCTGTACTTATGACGGTCTCGTGAGTTGCTGCTCTGGTTCTTACGATCAGTGATTATTTACAATAACCCCCTGACTGTATTGGATGAATTTAACAAGAGGTGTGGCGTATAAAATGTGTCATCAATTGGAGAACTCAAAACAAATTTACACCTCCCCCGGGTCCCTGTCACTTCTCACTGAAATGAGTAGATAATAATAATAATAACAATATTTATAAAGCGCAACATATCCATCTCTAGAGATGCTCAAGGCGCATACAAATAATTTAAATTAATATTCAACATACTTAAGATGCTCTACTCCTGGATATTTCTCCCTGCTTTTCAACCAAATACTAACAATATAAGATCTATACTTTTCCTTTGGAATGACTGCTAAACCACCTGATGATGCGGCTTTTCATGTTGCATTATTAGACTGCATATGCTCAATTCTGTCCTGCCATTATGATTGTAATGATATTGTAGAACTTTAGATGGGATAGGCGTCAATGCAAGACTATTCCATATTTCACGAGAGAGGGTGTGCCCCTCCTATGTAATTTGTATGCTCTATGTTTGTATATGTATCTATATCACCTATTTATTTCGCCATTCATCTTGTGTAAATTGTTCCGTGTTTTACCTGAAATTCCAGATACAGTTCAGATTGATTTTTGAAATTTCATTTCGTGCGTGTGTGTGTGTGTGTTTATGTATGTTCATTGAGTCTGCAGCTACTCAGGGATATTTGGATGTGAATACTTTTTTTCTGCTTTTGCTGTACGAGATAAAGACAAGACTTAAAGAAATATGTCCTCCATGTTATAAAAATCTTATGCCTTTAAGCCATTGTAGATGGTCACATTTACTTGTAAAATGTTGTAAGGGATTGAAGCTTATATATATAATTAGGGGCTCTATCTTTATGGTGTTATGATCGAAAACTCTAGCAGTTGAATAAGGCATAAGACATACACTTTGATCATACCTCTCTCATTCTCCATACCATTTTTATATCTGTCTCTCCCCCCCCCCCCCCACCTCTCCGTCTCAATTTTTGCTCCTTCAAGCGCACTCTCTCTCTCTCTCTCGCTTCCTCCTTCATGCCTTCTCCCTCTAACGCCTCAGTCAGACCGTTTCGTATTTGGCTTGCGTATTGCTGCATATTTATGGCAAGCCGTTTTAACATTCATTCCTATTTATTCTTGATATCAAGAAATCGATTTTTTTATATCAAGAATCTGATTCTTTATATCAAGAATTACCATTGCTTTACAGCAAAAAATAATTTCTTGATATCAAGAAAAATAGGAATAAATGTTTAAACAGCTTGCCATAAATACGCAGCAATACGCAAGCCAAATACGCAAAGGTGTGACTGAGGCATAACACTAAACAAGTCTTGACCTCTCATCAGTGTATCATTCTATCCTTCCAGATAAATTACAATGTAGGTTTTTTTAGGTTGCTAAATGCTAGTTAAAGGTTTTAAGTGTTTGTTGTACTAGAATTGTATTCCTAGATCAGCAAATTGAAATCATTTCATCAGATTTTTAGACAATTGCCAACCATTCATATTCTTCAATAATAATGATAATCTGCACAAATATTGCCATGTTAGGCTCAATATTGTGCTGTTATATCAATTTTAGGGGAATATTTGTGAATTTATTTTTGATGTACTTTTAGTAGGCATTCTCCCCTGACTGTATAACAGTTGTGATAATTTGCGAAGATCAGTGGGCATTTTATTTCAAAAAGTCTAATTAGACCACAGATTTACAGGAAATATTAGACCACAGGTTTACAGGAAATATTAGACCACAGATTTACAGGAAATATTAGACCACAGGTTTACAGGAAATATTAGACCACAGGTTTACAGGAAATATTAGAC